GAATTATCGAGTAGGAAAATCAGTGAAATTCCAAGCTTGAAGGCAGGCGGAAGTCTCAAACGACCTCGTTCGAGTGTACAAGCGGATATTTTTAAACGCTTCAAATTGTAATAGCATCGATTCGGATCGAACCATCGCGCGTCGCTTTCAATGATTCTCTTTCAGTCTTCACGTGGAAATCATCGAGTTATATTTCGTCTCTCTCTCTCTCTCTCACTCTCTCTCGTATCGTTCTGTTTTCACTAGAAAATTTATTAATGAACTTCCCTGGAAACAATTATTAATTATATTTTACTTGAAAGTAATACACGCAATATTTCATATACCTACTTTATATCCAAATATTTGATCGAGTCTTCTATATAATAGCACATTTCTCTATCTCTCCTTTCTATTTATATTGGAATATTTTCTAAGAAAACAGTATTCAAAACGTTCTATTTTCAAGAACAATCTCTTTAACAATCTTTCAACTACTAAAAACATTCTCGAAAGAATTGAACTATGTGAAATGAATTTCAAATAACATTACCCCTATTTAGAGTCTCTATATAGAAATTGTCTCGATTTTCTTCCTTCAATCGAGTTTCGTTCGATCGCAAAAATATTCAAAGATATTTTCCAAGCGGTTTCCACTTGAAAGAAATTCGATAGAATTTTCATTACAAGAACTAAGGGTAATTCCTTCGAGTTCTAATACCAAAATCTTATTCATTATATTCTATAAAATAGGAAAAGGATGCGAGATAACAATAAACGCACATTTTGATATTTATTTCATTGAAGCAAAATATAGCAGTATAAAGTAAAATAAAATGGCGAAAGTTAGCGACTTGTCAGATATAATAAAAAGTGATTGGCAATGTTGATACGATAGATCGAGTGATACAGTGAACGACATATCGTGGTGAAAAGGAAACGATAGATGACATAACACGTAAATAAAGGAAGAAAAATAAAATGCCAAGGCAGCACAGGTTTTATCGAACGGAACAAAAAAGTCGGCTTCCAGATTTGACCAGTGACGTTTGTCGATTGTTATCCTACAAAGGATTAAACGGTCTGGTCAAAGGTCACGTCGAGGAACGAGAAACGAAAGTTAGAACGAAAAGAAACAAAATAAGAAACGAAGAAGAGGAAGAGGAAAAGGAAGAAAACGCACACGAAGATAAAAGTGAAGAGACAGAGAAGAGAAAAGGATTTTACAAAGACTTGATAAGAACAAAATCGATTGAAACTAAGGTAGGAAGATGAGAGAGTATTCAATTTTGAAGTATTCATTTTTCAATTATTCGCTAAGTTAATCAAATCATTTCGGTTTATGGAATGATCTGTTGGAACCAATAAATTAGAATGTCACAGAAATTCAACGAAACATTGATTGCATAAACTAAGTTTTTCCACTTTCATAGATTCTCCATTGTAATATTAATCTTATGTCGATGATTCTAAGACTAAATTTCATTCGTTATTTTCCTTTAATCCTAATAACTTTGAAATTCTTTGAATTGTTCAATTTTTGTAGGAAAATCCTTGATAAGATTCCTGTCTTTTTTATGCTTGACTTTTAATTTCGACATCGTTGAGAGAATGAGTTCCACTTGAATAAAAAGAATAGAGATAATTGAGGAAAATAGAGAAAGAGAAGGATGGAGGAAGGGTGCGAGAATGTCTAATTAGAAAGTTAATTAAAAGGCACAATTAATTAAAACGTTTACTCGAATGTCTAACTTCTACTTTTATGAACAAATTTATATATACATATATTTTATTTACATTTTATTAGAATAATTTGAATCGAAATTTAAACTAAAAAATACAATTGAAAATGTACACAAATGAAGATTTTTTCATTTCAATTTAATAACTTTTGATAAAAATACTGTAACACATAAATATATAAACGCATAGAGTCACAGATAGAATGCGTATAATTTTATCGAATAAAAGAAATATACTTAATATTATGATAATAACAATTGAATTTTTCTCTGGACAAATATGAATCCGATAGAAAATCGAAATTGGACGATACGCAGAAATGCGTAGATAGGATTGGGAAAGCACGACAACGTAAATCACACGTTTAATTTACGTGTTCGAATGCACATGTTTTTCTTACCGATTGGAAACACGCGTAGATTCTCGTTATCGTCATATTACATCGTCGGCTTTACAGGAAAATACGGGTTTGCCAAGGCTCATAGCCATCCAATACCAAGGGATGTTTACCTACCCTCCGATGACGTACATCTATGTACGTGTATATATATATATCTGTTGTGTGTGTTTTAAAACGATAAAGAGTAGAACACGCAGTTCTTTCAGGGAGAATAACTCGAGTCGGACAAATCGTTCCTTTCAAAGAGAATGCGATACCATAGCTATAATTTATCGTTGAAAACAATAATCGATGTGAACGATAACGGATTAGTTAATTATTAACTTATACCTTATAATGAGTTGAACATTCAGAGAGTTAGATATTTCATTTAAAAATGTATACTTAACATATTAGCAAAATAAATGAGTAAGGAACGCATTTATTATTTCATTTGTTTATTTCCAAAGAAATAAATATATACCTTCTTTTTCTCTCATTTATATAGGGAAATCTGTGAAAGAGTAAAAAGAGACAGAAGCAAATAGAGAAAGGAAGAGAGTCTATCGATTACAGCGAATTTCACGTTATTTCGATGCCATTTGAAACACCTCTGATACGAGCCATTCGTTTACACTTTGAATTCTCTGCGTGTACCGTAATCCTTCGAAACCTTTCGAAACTATCGAATTTACTCCTGACTAAACAAACAGAGTAGGAAGCTCGAATTTTCATTCCTCTACTATCATTTACTAAGCGAATTCTTGACGACTTACAAAGTGTGTTTAGCAAATCAGAATCTATCACTAATGTATCATTTCGTTTGGCCATTCGTAATCATGTTCTCCTTTCTTTTTCAATTTCAAACAGTAGATCTTTCAACATTTGCACTTTAACAAATATATATTTTCAGTTACATTCTTAATTGTAAACCATATATCTTTTTATCGTGAATGTACAAAGATTATACTTTAGTTTTTTTTTCCTTTTTCTTGAATAGAGTAAATGTGTTATTAAAGAAAAATTAGAATTACCAATATTCAACAGAATGATCAATTAAATTTAAACGAAGAAAAAATTTGATTAAAGGAGAATTGTCAATGAATATGTTCGCGCGCAATATATGAGTGCATATACGTATGGAGATCTCGTTATACAATATAATTATTAGGTAATGCGATTCTAAAGAGCTGACTATTGTGAGCATCATTAATGATCAATCAAATGAGTAGAACGATATCTATTATCTTCGTCCGATGTAGGTAATAGAGTAAGTACAATAGGAATTATTTGTTCATAGAATATTTTTGCTAATAAAGCTCGATCAACGATACAACACTTCTCTACGAAAATACAATTTAATACATATTTTGTACGCATGTGTTTTTATATATTTGTTTTGCTATTAATTAAATATTAATCTTTGAATTTGATTAGAAGAATTTGACGCGTTCGCGACGAAGCCCGAATTTCTGAACCATACCACTATATAACATAAAAATAGCAATAACAAAGAAAGACTTTATACACGAATAACGCTATAAACATTTGATTAAAAGTAAAAGAGGGTATGTTTGTTTTCCATTGGATTTATTGGCAAATCCTAGGCAAATTTATCGGACGAACCAGGCAATTATGGAATTTACGCAGTGGTTGAACATGTTCGATATCAGCGATGCACCACCTCTCCAACAGTACAGCTGTTAGAGTGCGTACCTAGAAGAGGCTTAACGTTATATCCGTTATAATTGGATCGAGATTAAATTAGCTTCTGACCGTGATTGAAGTTTAACGTGTCACCCATCTAGAACGCGCACCACGTACACACACTTCTTCCTTTCTCATCTTTGCTTTGTCAAAGATTACAAGTATACTACTTCCATAGAGCGAAGAAAATATTATTGACAGAAGGATACTCGGTCTTTAACGATCTTCCAAAAGGTTTTCGTTCCTTTTAACTTAGTCCAAGTTTGACGGTATTGGTCAGGAATAAAGTTGATTTGGGAAGAAAAAGTCGGGAGGTCGAGCTTTTTTAAATTCCGTGGAAAGTCTCACGGTTCAAAGAACACCTTTTCAAGAATTTATGCGACCAAAGGCGCCCCCTTTCCTTTCTCCTCCCTCCTTTCGTTCTATCACTGGAACGGAACCTACGAGAATACGAATTTCTAAGAATTCATTTTTCATAAAAAGATCCTATGTGATTTACGACTTGAGATACCTTCGCACACTCTAATACATCTTATTTCGTGAAATTTATTTATCTTTTCTCCTTTTCTTTTTTATCACGAACAATTAAATAACAAGACATAGACATTGTTTAAATGATATTATTCAATTTATTAACAAAATGACAATCTCGTGACGTCGTTTGACGAATATTATACAAGAGGAGGGTCAAAGGGCGAAGGACCAGAGGGAAAAGTGCTTTGTAAGCCAGCTAGATAGCATGTCTTTCATGCCTTCGTCGTGAAAGCCCTTTGTCGTTCGCGGTTTAGCAATTATCTCCAATTAATGTCAGCTTTTTCCTAAGAACATCACTTTTCCTTATTTCTAGTCCTTCATCCAACGAAATACATTCTATTTCCAGAAGCATTCCATTCATCTTCCTTCTCCAGCTGCAACACCCACGCACCCCTCTTCATTTATCTTTCACGTCATTATTTAATACAAGAAATTCATTTATAGTCAGCCTTTTTAACCTACATTGTAATGGATTTTTATTACAAAAAGTTAATGAAAGTTTTTACATTGGAATTATTTCAATGAGATGATGTTTAAATGAAATAATTATCGTATAGAGAAAAAATAATTATCTTATAGAAATAAAATGTTCTTTTTTCATGATCTTTATTGTCGTTGGAAATAATTGATTGAAAATTTGCGCTTTTCTCCGTTGCAGGAACTTGAAAGAAGTTCATCGAGAGAGACATTGTCGTCGCCGGTTGGAAACAGTCCGGTTTGTTGTCAACCATGCAGTCCACCTTGCAGTCCACCACCAGCACCGGCTGCATACATATCAAGTGCTCGTGCCTCTTCGAGAAGACTCACCACCGGAAGCGGGCTCGGACCTCTTCCGTCCCCGGAAAGAGATCCTCTAGGAAGATTACTCAGGTTAATTTCTTTGAAGTTTTAACTTGTTACAGGGAGATCAAGTCAAGTTTCTGATGACTCTATTCTTTCGCTTTAATGATCACTCTTTTAAATATCTTTCATGTAAAGTAATCATATAACTGTATTCGAAATAATAAAATATATTAAATGGGTTTAAAATGTATTGTTTAGATTCTTGAAAAGTTTCTACACGGAATTAGGGAAACGCGATCCACCTCATATGCCGGCATGGGTTTGCCCTTTGCCTCTTGGAAGTCTTTGTCCGGCTCACTTCAAACCACACTTGCAATTGGTGCATAAAAGTGAACAGGAACATCGTCTCGAGAACATCAAGCCGGACCAAATCTTCGCACCTGTCAGAGTGAGTATTACAAATCACCCGCATCTTTTCTTCTTCTACTTCTTCCTCCTTCTCTTCCTCTTATCGTCGACGAATACGAGGATGACAAGTAGGAAACGTGCAAAACTTCTCAAGCAGGACAAACCCGATAAGACAGACGAACATCGTGGTGTCTACCTCCTATGAATCTTCTTCCAACATTTTATAACCTTCTTTTTTCCTCTCGATAAATTGATCTTTTTTTCATTTTTATTATCGCATAACCATTCGAAAGAGCATACTTCCGCACATAATTATGATCATCAATTTATTTTTCTTTTTCTCGATGTAGAACACTCGCGAGTGGAACTAATATTGCATGTGTCGAATGTGATATCTCGAGATGTTCTCATCTTTTATTGTCATCGTTCTCGTGGATGTACTTGTAGCAGTAATAGTACATAGGAATATTGGTCGAATCAGGAACAAGAGAAGAATAGAAACGAGTTATAACTCGAACAATAAAGTAGCTACTCGTGACCCAGTTTTGATATCACGTATCCCGTGTTATCATACCAGTTTGGAAAACGATTTAAAAAACGACTTAAAATACGACTTACACAGATACGCACATTCTCATTTCTTTTTCGTTATTTTGGTATCTATTCAAACTCTATCCGTTCTTTCCTATTTTTTTATTGTTTCCTTGTCACCAATCCATTTTATATAATATATTTCAAAATTTGTAAGGTTAATCACCGTCACAAAGTCATTTCTTTCTTGGCATTTTCTAAAACAGAAAGAAAAGTCATAAACTGTGTTAGGTTAGTAACGAGAACGACTTTACTCTTGTATATAGCGTGTGCTGGATAAAGAACAATGAAAAACGAGTAATAGAAAAGGTAAGGGTTGCAGAAGAAGAAGAAGAAGTAGAAGAAAAATAAAGCTTGTTGGTTCGTGAGTAGCTTTTCCAAGAGCTTTTTTCTTAGCTTTCGTATCTCGCTCGAAAGAGCAATTAGTTGGTTAATAGATCTCTTAGGATCTTTCGACAGTTCTCGAGAACGTTTTCGACACCTTCGATGAGAAGGCGAAGATGTGTTTAGCCCTATCTATCCAATAACGACTAATTCGAAGATAATTCGATTTTATATTAATTTCATCAGTTATCAAAATTGTTACATTGAATTTTGTCGTTATGTTATTCCTATTTCATTTTGAAATGATAGAAATCAAATGAATTCAGAGACAATACGCATGCAACTTTTGCATTTCTCTTTAATTTTGCTTACTTTTTATTCATATTTATTTCCGTCCAAAATGGGGTAGTATCAAAAAGATATTTCGGTGTGTATTCTTGATTTTATTCTTTCCGTAAAGGTTTTCACCCTTCCTTCAGCCTTCTTTCAGTACACGTGGCAGAGTTACGAGGTTCATTTTTCGACGTGCCCGTTTCCAAGCGAAGTGTCGCATTGTTCGCTACTCTCATTGCAGCATTTCGCGTTATCGGAGAATGGGGCGGGGGTCGACGAGAGGAAAAGGAGGACAAACAAGAGAAAAGTGGATAGAAGAAAAATTTTAAGAAAATTACATCGGACTTGTAGACGTTATTTGATATTCTTTATTTTACAATAGCTCTTAAACCTCTTAACGGAATCAACAAAGAAATGTATCTACTATATTTGTATAATATGTTGTGATTGTATTCTCTATTGTAGCATTGTAGCTTTTTGCGAATCGAATATCATAATAATGAATACATTGGTCCGATTTTGGATTGATTTTCAGTTAAGCGATGGCACCGTATCGGAAGCCCCCAGAAGAGTTGCGGTCGAAGGTGGTCCAGGAAGCGGAAGAACAACGCTGTGCTTACGTTTACTTTATCAATGGGCAATACAAGCCGAAGGTCCAGCTTTGGCGTTCATCGTACCGCTTCGCGAACTTCGTGGCAGTCCACTGTTAAATTATTTTTCCCGAGAACTTTTACCAAGAACAGCGGCTCTCGGGGATGCCGTAGCTCAAGTTTGGCGTACGTTACACCTGATGGAAGACCGGGTGCTCTTCGTATTGGACGGTTACGACGAATGCGTGGGAGGAAGAGCCTCTCTGGGGGATGCGGCAGATCTTTTAGAGGGACGATTATTTCCAGAAGCAAGAATACTCGTCACTTGTTCGCCCATCAATACGGCTACTTTATCGCCATTGGTACAAAGAAGGATCCACTTGGCTGGTCTAGAATGGCCCCACGTCGAAAGACTCTGCGTTGCGTATTTTATTCACAACAACATAGCAGGCAGGGCTTGCGAATTTTTAGAAGCTTTGAACGTTCAACCGCAACCAGTCAAACAATTGGGTCAACATCCACTCGGTTGGATCATGCTTTGCTGTCTTTACCAGGTACATCTCCTAACGACGAATCCTTAATTATATATAGGTATATAACAAGTTTCTATTGATCTTGACATTTGATTACAGGATTCAGGAAGTTTACCAAGAGAAACGAGCGCTCTCATGCATGCTGCCGTGAAATGTATCGTGAAGAGAAGCCTCGAGCCAGCCATTCCCTACGAAGAAGAGATTCCAGGACATTGCAGGAAACGTTTGGAAGAGTTTGGCAAGGTATCTCTTGCAGCCTTAAGGGAAGGAAGGTGTTGCTATACCGAAGCTGAAATAAGAGCGCGTGGTGGTGGCATCGAAGTAACCAGGCTAGGCTTTCTTACCAAAGGATTGACCCTTGGGCAAAGACGTAAACCGGATCTCTTCACTCCTATTCACGTAGCCGTGGCCGAGTTCCTTGCAGCTTATTACCTCACCTCGGTCGCTCAATACGCGAACATCCTACGAAGAGAACTCGAGGGTTTACCTTCGGGTATCATAGGACATCTCGCTGGTCTTTTAGGGCCGAAGACACACCTCATTCTTAATCAGCTTTGTCCTTTAGAAGTACCACCTAGATCGGTATTTTCATTATTGAAAGCAGCTGGTGCATCGGACGGTAACGTTTCAGCCGTTTGTCGATTAGTTGGTGCAGGTTCTGGTTTTGGGCCAGCTCCTAATGAAAAACCATCGGCACCTTTGGTACACACTTCACCTTTAGAACTGGAAGGTTGGTCCAAGATACTTCAAAGCTCGGCTTGCACCATCGAGGCTCTCGAATTGGTCTTCCAATTGGAAAGAGGATTCGACACTAGATATCTCGACGAATTCTTCGATGCTCTAGCTACTAACGAGAGTGTTAAACTCGTAAGGATTACCTCCCTCCTTGGCCAAGAATTTCCGGCTGACGAAGCATTAAGGCTGGCTGGACATTTAAAGAGTGTGCTCGGAAAAAAGAAACTCAACGACTTTGAATTGGTTATCACCTGCCTCGAAGAATCCGCGCATGACAAGTGAGTTTCATTTATTAATACGCGCGATTACAATATTTTATCCATATTCTGATTTGTATTTTACCCTAACAAATAGTATTAAATAATATTTTCAAATTTGGAATATTTCGAAAAGAGAAGTTACAGAAAGATCAAAGAAAGAGGAGAATTGGAAAGTTGCGATAATGAGCCAGCAGATATATCGTGGAAAATCTTCCGAGTAGTCGTTGGAGCCCTTTTCGGTAGGGGTACTTGCCTCGGAGCTAAACGGAACTCAGTAGTTCTCTCTCTCTCCCTTTCCCTTTTAGTCTTTTCCCTGCGAGTTCCGGAGCCACTTGCCGCGATTCCCTCGGATTTGCGAGCGACGGAAGAAAATCAGGAAAGAAAAGGTCAAAAAGAGGAGAAGACAAACGAAACGAACATTCGTGACGATGATTAAAGGGAGAGGATCAAATAGAAACGGAGAAATGAAAAGGAAAGAATTGTTGAAACTGGAAAAGCTTGAAGAAAAAAGAAGAGATACCATGGTTAAAGCTCGGTCCCTCTCTTTCTCTCCTTCTCCCTTCACTTTTTCTTTCTTACATTAGGATGAAAAACGTCCGACGTGCCTCTTAATTTTCCGCCAGCAACCAGCATTAAATAAAAGATTCTCTCTCTTTCTTTTATTATTCTTATGAGGCAGATTTCTTCGCTCGCTTTAATCTCTTTGTCACTTCTTATACATCATCTAGATCTCCTTATGTTTCAAGAGAAATAGTAAGAATTATGACTCGAAAATCATTTCAATTGTATATTTGTAATAGTTACAAGTGTTATATCGGACATTGTCCTATTCTATTTTGTTCAATGAAAAAAAAACCCATTTTTACAAAATCGTCTATATTTTTTTTCGACGAAAAAAAATGTGTTATTTTTGTTTTGTTTGAAATTGTAGATTAGAATGTGTGGTGAACGTGTTGTGTCGTGGGCTAAGTCATGCTTCTAATAGCTTGGCACGTTTGGTCCTCGACATGAATCTGTCCGGGGAACAAGTATCACGGATCTGCGATGCACTTCGCGGCTGCGTTCAAGTACAGGCACTGCACTTGCCCCATTTGGGTTGTGGCTCGGAGGGCCTCGCCTCCGTTGCTGAGTTGCTCAAGGAGAGACCCCTTCTTGCTCTCAATCTAGCCGGAAGTTGGGGCTCTAAGAACGAAGATCCTTCTAGTTCGGGAATCAGTATGGGTAAAAAACATACACAATTAATATATATAATAATAATTCTTTTTTACTCTATCGAATATATCTTTATCGTATTATTACCTTGTAAATCATTCATCATTTCAATTCATTATGATGAAAAATCGATTTAAACTATGACATAAAACGTAAGTTAATGCTAATGATCCTAACGAGGATTACGTCTATTACTCGACACATTAGAAACTTTAACTCAATAACTATCAACTCGGAATGACAGAAACTTAGATTTGAAATAGCTTAGAGGACCGATGACTCCAGTTTAAAGTCCGATATGTGCATATATAGGGTGTTCCAAAAAAGATCCACTGATTATTTATACAGCATATAATAGCGTACGCTGTTTTGTGCTTTATGCTAAACTTTTCAACCCACATATGTATATTTTTCCTTTAATTTCTTTTCTCTTCTTTTTTTTTTTTGGGTCTTACTGCTTGCACGATCTATACTATGGAATTCTTTTTACTCGCAATCTGTATAGGGTATTCTATATACGAATATGTTATTTGGAACACCCTTTGTGTGTGCGCATGTAATATATATATATACATAGGAACTCCCCGTTGGCATTTTACTTAGAGAACTTGAAAGTTTAACCCTTTTGAACTTTAAGCTGTGGATAGTAGTAATAGGGAACGGTAGTGATAGCGGTAGAACCATTTGCTTCTACTAGCTTCGAAGCAAATTCTGATCGTGAAACACCAATGTGAAAAGTGCTTCTAGATACGAACGCGAGAATAACCCGTAGGAAATTATAATCCAGAGAAAAGCGTTCGCTTAGTTTTCTCTCCTTCCTTTGAGAATATTCTTAACGCAATATACGAGTACTTCGTTATCGTTCTTTTTCTTAGACTTCCGAACGATCGGAAAAGTAATTAACGGATGAAAATGATTATTGAATTATCGTTATATAGTCTTAGTTTTACAATCGCAAAAAAGAATGGTCTCGTCTTCTTATTATAGAGCGAATATTACAAAATCTACCACCGCCAGGATAATTTTCAATACAAGTATAATTACGCTTGTGCTACGAATTTGTTTCTAACGATGGGATCTTTTATAATACCACAGTCGAACAAATATTGAAATAGTTGCATAATTGGTGTATGATCGAGCAACCAAATAGAATTTTGAGGAAAGAACAAAATACTATTGGGTGGGACTATAGGGTTGGGACTATTGGGTGAAATTGAAATATCCAAATTTCATTCGTCAGTGATTCGAATAGGAGGTCTTCCCTTAAGGGACAACTTTCTTTAAGGGGATTTGCGTCGGTAGAAATTCGTTGAAAATATAGCACGCTCGGAAAGAAAGCGAAAGAGACTTATCTGGGAAAAGAAAGAGAAAGACAGATCGATAAATAGAACGCGGGGAAGATAATTTCCGCTTGCGAAGCAATCTATTAATCATCTCTCTGAGAAATGCTGCTCTTTCCCTCTTTGTCTGTCTCTTTTCATTAGCTTCTCTCATCGTTACATCCAACAAAACTCATATCTTTTCTTTACGGACAAACGAGAGAATTTGTCTAACAATTCCTGTCATTTTTGATCCTATAATATTAGCAAATATATAATATGCATCCTGTTTATAGGTATATGAAATGAAATACTCGATAGTCGAAATTTGTTAGAGAAAGAGAACGAATGCTAAGCTTCCTTTGAATTTTTCAAATACATTATTTGAAATCAATAGGAGAATAGTAACTGGTATCGCATTTAAATAAACATCGTCCTATTCTATAGAAGAAAAAGTACCTTAAATAACTTAAAAGATAATCTTTTGTTATTTTTCGATAGCAACAATTGAATTTGTTCTCTGTAAAGCGACTTTTATTTGTTGAAAAAAGATATATGAAAAGAACACAAAGTGAAATTGAATATGAATATTGAATTGAAAAGTTAGCATCATAGCGTCCACGTACGGCAGTTGATGTATAATTCACTCACCATCAGTGGAACTATTTTCCTTTGGGATCTTTGTCGTTAATTAATCGAGTCAATTCGGATAACTCGGGTGAAAAGGTAACGGTTCGTATCGTTGATTGCGAGAGTTTAAATCGTTTCACCACTCTCGATGCACTTTCCATCAAGCGACGAAGGTACTTTCTTTGTACTCCCCCAGCCATCTTTTTTTCAACACGCTTTATTACTTTCCTGCCTTACGCTCCATTAACAAATATGAAACGTAAATTGGCTGACCAAGCGTAAACGTTTTCTATATTCCCTTCGTCAAAGAGAATAAGAAAGAAAAAAAACCAGACAAATGGATTGTTTCTTTTTCGTCTCTCCCTCTCTCTCTCTCTCTCTCCATCTCTCTATTTCTATCTCTCTATTTCTATCTCTTTCTTGGCACTTCAAGAAAATAGGTCAACGTTCATCTGAATTTATCGAGATGCCTCAGAACCGTAATATAAATTATATTTCTCTCATCTTAAATCTTTTGGTAAACTTAGCCGGTGGGAAAATTGTAAGAGCATAAAAATCTTCCGCTCTTCTATAATAATATTCACGTTTTGCCAACGCTAATAAAACTACTTATTATTCTATCTCGCAAAAGTTTAGCAAAGGTAAACTTTGATTAAGCTCCGAGGAGAGAATTGAATTATTCGATATCTTAGAACGATTATCAAAATCAATACTTCGTAAGAAATAAAAAGTGTGTATTATTTTTGTTGTCGTTCGTCATAAACATAATAAAATTGAGTTTTGTAGGTTCAGGTTCTGGATCCGGTAGTAGCGGATACGCCTCGAGCATCCTCGGCACTCTTCCCTTAAATCGTTGCTACTCTTCCTTACCGCGTGGTGCTTTGGCAGCTTATGGAAGTTTAACCAGGCCAGCAACCTTACCAAGATTACCTTTTGGATTGGGTCTCGGGCTTGGTCCAACGACCGGTCATGGACACGGACATAATACTAGCGGAGCTACCGGTTCCCCTGCTACTGGCCCTGCTGCTTCGACAGGAAACGAAAATGCCAGTGCTACCGGAAACGCACCTTTACCGCAAAATGATAGCAATGGAACTAGCAAGCGAAACAGCGACAGCGTACTTTGTCATCGACCACCTCTTATGCATCCATTACCTACTTGTGACGTCAGCAATCATCAGGGTACCGGATTTCATGAAATCTTCAATGCTATTAGGTAAACTTATTAACAAAACAAAATCCAATTAGGATGCAATATCGGATTATTAGCGGAAATATTGTAAATAATATGGTAGCAGAGTTTGAGTAAAATATGTCCGGTATTTTTCATTTATCCAGGTATCTTATCGAGTAGTCTAAGGCTCGGATGGCAGTTCGTTCTTCAATTAATTAACTTGTTGGCTTTACATTCAATTCTAATTCAAAGTAAACAAAATAATAGAGTAATGCACTTTATAGAAAAAATATCTAATTGTAAATTTCTAGAATATTTATACAGCGCTGTGTTTGAACGAGCTCGATGTAGAAAGACTTGCATTTCCAATGTTACGTACACATAGTTAACTTGGAAAGTAAAAAAACTTTGAATCTAGAATTTTACTCGTTGACGATAAAAAAAAAATGCTCTAGGAGCATGAATGAACCAGAGCAGGGATAAATGAGTTATGGAAATTTAGTGTAAGAGACGATGGAAAATCTTTCTACCGAAGAAATTAAAGGAACTTTCATGGAAGAAAGTTTGATGCGCGTTCTCTCTCATACTTTTACTCGAGGAGGAGAGATGCGTTCTTGAAGCAAGGTCGCTAACTTTGTACGCGTTCTTCGTCCTTCTCTCGAAACTAGAAAGATATCGGGAACCTTCGATTATAACGAAACTTTCGTCATCGAACTTTTACTCGCTCTATAATTCGTGAATTCAAAGTTTAACCGATTGAACGACAAACTGACGTCCTATGGATTTTTTTCTATTTCTCTCCGACCAATTCAATTTATGCGTTTATTATTATGTGCTTTTTTATTTTTATTATTAATTCATTTTAATTTGATAAAGCGCAAAGCTTGCAAGTCAAGTTTTGTAATTAAGTGCAAACAGTTAATAACAAAATAGAAGAAAGCAGACATTTATCAATACAAAAAAATCAATCATTTTACGCTATTAAATCGGAACAAAATTTGTTATCGTCATTTAACTATCAAACGAATCTCGAGCATGTGATTTACTTATAATTACAAATCGTACAATATATTTTTAATTAAAAACGAGTACCACCAGCTGGGCTCGACTATTTTACTTCGCATTTTTCTTCTACCTCCCTCCTTTTTTCTCAGGCCCATTCACTTTCGTCTGTCCCGATGAGAATAAATTGAATCTTTCAGGAAAAAGAAAAGGAAAAAAGAAGCAATGTTCACGAAGAGGAAGAAAATGTTCACGAGGTTATTTCAACCTGCTGGCTTTAAACGTACTTTACATTCCATGCGTTCGCGTCTTTCATTAGTTTTCTCCTTTATCTTCTCTCCCTCTTCTCTCCCCCTTCTCTCCCCCTTCTCTCCTTTTCATTCCATCATTTTTATTATCACTAATATGTCGATAGCACACGACTTAATTATCTTCTCAAATTTGAAGTCTTGTTCTCGTTAAAACATTTGTTTGTTTGTCAAATCTCGTAATACATATTATTTGGATATATTTATTTGTTAATTATTATATTCGTATATTCATTTATTTATAATAGAAATAATATGTGGACGTATGTGTGCATAAAATGGGATCGCTACGATAAAGGGAAAACGAGATATCTCCTTCGATTTTTACAGCCGATTGGTGTTAAAGAGATAAAAATGATTATACGGATCATTGGTCGTGACTAAGGTTGACTGGAAAATATCAAAAGCTGCGGTGGTTACTTTTATCGACGATATCCGATTTTATATTTGATCCAACTAACGTAACAATAAAATCAGTTATTGCATTTCAATCAATCATCCCCGATAATGTAATATACATTAATTATTAAATATTATTAATAATTATTATAAATGCAATTCGGACAACATTGATTTGCCATAAATTATCAAGGAAGAACATTTACTAATCCAAGAAATAATAATTGATTGTGTTTACAGAGAGCCCAGCTGTAAGCTGAGATCATTGAACGTGTCTAAATGTCTTTTGGGCGGCTTAGATGCTAGCTGTTTAGGAGAAACAATAAGAAAAGCGCGACACTTGGATGCTCTTAGAGCTGCTGGTGCTTCGAAACCAGCTGATGTTATGCCGCTCGTCCTGGCCTTGACAGAGGCACCCTGTCTTCAACTTCTCGATCTAGCTAGTCCAAGACTAGCCCTTGACGATCATCCATCTAGACTTCTTTGCCAAGCACTCGCTAGGAATACTACTTTAAGGCTTCTCAGTCTCGAGGGTTGGACCTTTAGAATAGAAGTAAGCTTGGCCTTAAGAATTATTTCGTATGCTCGAAATGTTATCACGAGGAATGAGAATTCTTATTTAAACGAACGAGATCTACATATGTATATGTATGTACGCATATAGGAATCTGAAACGCTAGCAGTATTCTCAGAATTACTGAGATATACGAACGTGAGGGAATTGAGTTTATGTAATGCTCGGCTCCACCTGGCGGTCCACGAAGGTCCTCTCGCAAGATTAGGACGTCGCGACGATGCTGGTGCCGAGTTACTACGAGCTGCACCCCCTCCAGCTTGCCCTGCTATAGTCTTTCTCAGACTAGCTGGATTCCAGGTTGGTTAAAGACAACTTTTCAGTTATATATTGGGCATTTTGTTCAACTACCACCTTTCGTGATTGTAGGTGACGGTAAACGATCGACTGGCATTACGCGGTCCTCTACTACTTCCATTCCTAGCAGGCTTCACCGGTTTAAGCGAGCTTGACCTATCGTTAGACAAATCAGCCATAGGAGGTAGCAGTGGATCCTTATTGTTCATCGATGATAAAATACTTCAACAATTTTTTGCTTCTCTCTCTTCGCACTTCCGTAATTTACAATCATTACGAATCAGTTTCTGGCGTATCAGTTTAGAAGACAGCGAAAGGACAATGCGCCAAATAGCAAAATATATCAAACTTTGTAATTTGAGTTTTATCAAGATGAATGGCTTGATCGTCACTGACAGCGCTAAAAAAACACAAATGGAACATGTTTTTATTCAAACGATTATTATGAATCTTCAATATCTTACTTGGCTTTGTTTAGACGGTATCGAAATGACGGAGAAACAAGCATCGAGCATTGGTAAATGTACGAGAGATCGTTACACGGGCAGTTCTTTTGAGATTAGTGCTAAAGACGTTAATGTAAAATCGGTCAAAGCATTCGTAGCAGCCATCGAAGAAGGTGGCAAAGCTGAAGTTGTTTATACCGGCGGTTCCAATTGTCGATTGAAAATTACTATGTTACAGAAGAGTGGTAAAAACAAAAAGAAGTGAATACGATAAATAAAAAAAAAAGGAACAAGAGTCAGAATTTTAAATGAAAAATTAAATACGAACAGGTTGAATCCTGTTGAAGTAGAAATGTTCCTAGCAAGGCATATTAAAAAAAAGAAAGCTACTATTAATAGAATAGAAGTGAAAGTCGAAAGCGAGTTGATGAAGAATTAACAAAGGAAATATATATATATATATATTGATTTTTACGTTTCTTTTTTAAGAGGACAGCCTTTTTTAGTAAACAGTTGTTTAGATTTTTATTTTTTTAAATAAATAGTGCACAGGAGATAAGAATTGGGACCAGAATCTCCAGGTCCTCTAAAAAATGAATGCTGATGATGACGATGATGATATTTATTTCCTCAAATTATTCAAAGATTAATTGTTTGATAAATAAAATAAATAAAGTAGAATTTTTTGAGAAAAAGAAGAAAAAAAGAAGGAAAAGAACAACTGACTCGATACGGCTTCATTAATTACCTAGAGAACATTTTTCTTTTGTTAGTTCTATTTCTTGTCAAAAATCGTAGCTATTAATCATAGCAAGACCAAGATTAATAATAATACATGCGTCTTATTTTCTCGATTGGAATGTTTATTAAAGAAGAGGCTGTTACGACTGCGATAATTATTACGTTCATCATTGTTAGATGGATTGTATAATAAGATACGACTCAGAGTAATATATTATTATTATCATTAGTATATTATATCGTCGATATTATTAAATGTTGTATATGGAAGTTACGATTGAAAATTAAGAAAAAATAAATAAAAAGAAAATAAAGTAAAAAGATAAAAGAAAAGAGGAAAAAAGAGAGATAAAAAAACAGGTTTAAGGCAAGTGACATATTGTTGGAATTTTAGAGAAATTTTATATTATAAATTTTAACCCTAATAAATCCAAGATAGATATGAGAGAGAGAGAGAGAGAGAGAGAGAGAGAGAGAGAGAGAGAGAAAGAGAGAGAGAAAATCAAAAAGTCGATAAATTGTAATTTTATGAGATATATATATACACGACGATTCGTCTGTATGTACAGTTACGAGATATACCGTTCGAAGAAGAAACTGCCAAATCACGTCGTAGAATTAACGCGTAGTTAATAATAATTATACCTTGTGGTATTTCTGAGATATTTCAGAACACTAAGGTGAGATTAATAATTCTCGATATTTGGCTTAAGTATTCGATCATTTGCGTACCAAACGCACAAACCATACTGCCATAGATCCGATCTATTAAAAACAAATTGCATTAGAAAAAAGATCAAGAAACATTAATGGAGAAAGAGAAGATGATTCAACATAACTTATAATTATTTTTTATTCAGCTTTCGTCAGATTTTATTCTATATATGTTTCTTCTAACATTTTAATATCCGAGTGATTTTACAATGGTAGACCTTTTATCTTTTATTTATCCTTAGACATATATTAACGCATACGTTCGTTATTATTCTATATCATATAGATAGAAAAGAATTTTTCTATTATCTGCCACGTACAAAACATCATTAATAATCATAACATTAAAAGAAAATTCCTTTTGAAATATTACATGTCATATTTGTGGGCCTACTTTACAACAAAGAAAGAAAGAAAGAACAAATGGAAGACAGAGGAAAAGAAAAGAAACTAATTAAATATGTAATCGTTTTAACGAGATCTACTTTACCCTCGATACTGTCGGTATCGTCAGTAAAATCGTTACCATACATTACTCGTTATCGTCTGTGAAGATTATTTAATATAGATTTAACGCTATCGAAACTTCAACGTGCGAAATCGACTCGAAGTAATTTTATTATAAACCTTTATGTATTTATATGTGTATACATATCCTTTAAAATAAATGTAATATGTATTTAAGATTATATCTACGCTCTTATACACACACACACTCATATATTAAGATACATACATTACTGCTCGTTAAAATTTTCAAAAAGGGTAAAAAAGATTTTAAAACTTCGTTAATAGTATTTTTGATTACCCTCAACTCTTTTTCGGATAAACATACTGTTTTTCTTCTTTTCGTTCTTTGTCTTATTATTTTTTTTTTATATACCTTTCTTATATTATATATTAACATTTTAAAAATATAACAATATGAGACTTCTGGTTGAAAATTATTATAGCGGTGCAATGCCTCATATAATTTTCACCGCAGCATGATAAAAATGACAAATAAGTTCCTTTTTATGATTTATCATAAAACAATCGTTGTATATACAAAGTAGACCATATAAATGGGAATACCTAAATATCTTCTTTATTTACGACTCTATGAAAAAACTTTACAGAATGAGGTTGCACTATTTTAAGGGTCAAATGTAATGGCAAATAAAAAATATTTTTGGGTCATTTTTTAAATAAGATTTCCAGGTCATCGGTATTGTTTTTAAATGGAACTATATATTTTGTGGAACATGACAAAACGAATAAAAATGATCTGCATGACTATATCATTCGGATCATTTATTCTCGAGATATTTAAATCTCATATCACTACATTATATATATATTTTAATTATTGCAAAGTAAAAATTATTTCTTAAAAAGTCACTGAATTTCATGGTAGTATTGTAGATTACATTTTTAGCAGGAAAAATTATTAATGTAACTTTCATTAATGATAGATCTACGTCATGGAATGTACATATTTTATTTCTTTTTTGTTTCCCTATTATAAACTGCATATTCGATTGAAAAATCTTTTATAATCGTAGAATTACATAATTATTTATAGTTATCTATGTTTAACTCATTGTCCATTAATAATACTGCATTATATCTGCATATATACGTATAAAACATGTTTTAATTAAATCCATCGATAAAGAAAGTTAGTTACAAAAGAAAGTAAATTATACATGCGTACATTTTGTTGTTAAATATAGAAACTAAATGATTGATGTTTCTGAAAAGAATTGTGTTCAAAACTATATAATTCTATTGGTTTTAATATGATTATAATTACATTAGACTGAAGATTTTTTACAATATTAAAATGATAATTTATAATGAAATAACACTTCTATTACAAAATAAGTTTTTTTTTTTATATAAATCGTATTACGTATAAATGACTTTAATGAAATATTTAAAATCTTTTATTTTTGTTTATTCTTAGACGATAGTATCAGCCAAAATCACTAACACAGTTTGAAAATGATAATCTTCTATCTATAAATTTCTTCTAATCAATAGGTATAGATTACAAGAACATCCAAATCTCAAAAAAGATCTATACGCATTGATATAAAAGCACAAAAAAAAGTAGAAGTTTATCAACTATATATTGAAATGCAACATTATTTGGATTTATATACTTTCTATAGAGCACCATGCTCAAAATATTAGGAAACAGTAGTTGAGAGCTTTAGGACTGAAAGGTCCTATACTGATAACTCCAATGGTTGACCATTTTCAAATAATATATATATATATGTATAATTTTTAAATAATTTGTAATTGAAATTGATATTCGCCTCTATTTAAAACTAAGCAACCGCACAAACTCAAAATCGCAAAAATAATTTGCGTAAATGCTGTATTTCTTGCGCCTTTTTGACAAACTCCACAAGTGAATACACTATTGGAGCATTTATAAGAACACTTTACGACACATATATTTCTAATACATCACATGGGTGCATAATCCAATTGCACCGTTAATTGCCTCACACCTGCCGCTTGAAAAATCATTTGAGTATGTGCAACCACATACTTTGGATCTACAGTTCGTGCTACTTCCAGTTTTATACAACCAACATAAACGTCAGAACAAAGCGTCCAGAAATGTGGTTCTTGTACACTATAAACTCCAGCCAATTGGGTCACTTTATTGTAACACTGTGGTAAAACATGATCCAAAGCTATAGGTTGTCTTTGCATAAGAATCTCCCAAGATTCTTTCATTAATGAGAGTACACTTAACACTATCAATATTGCAATGACCATGGAACAAATAGGATCAGCTATCATCCAACCAAACATTTGCATTAAGACAGCTGATATAATTACTCCTACAGATCCCAAAGTATCTGCTAATATGTGTAGAAAAACTCCTTTCATAATTTGAGAATTATTACTACTAAAAGTTGAATCTATTTCGATATCATGATGATTGTGACTATGATTATGATTCAAATGAGAATGGTCGTGCCCGCTATTATGAGAATGCGAATGACCATGACCACCATGACCGTGTCCATGTCCATGTTGAAAGGCATAGATTCCTATTAAATTCACTAAGAGTCCCAGCAGAGAAACAGCAAAGAGTCTTTCGTGTTTTATCTCAGGTGGCTCGATAGCTCTTTCAACAGCTTCGGACATTATAAAGAGCGCAACGAACAATAATAATAATCCATTAACGAATCCACCCAATACTTCTGCACGTACATAACCGTATGAGTATCGGTCATTGGCTCTCCATTTTGTAATAACCGATGCCGCCAAACCAAATAACAAACCAGTACAATCAAAAAACATGTGGAAACTATCTGAGATTAGGCCCAAACTGTTTGTCCATATTCCATACGATAATTCAACGAAAGCAAAAGATAAATTTAAAATCAGAAGCAAAAATAAGTTTCTGGTATTTTTGTCAGAAAAAATTAAACGCTTCCAACCGAGAAGCTTCTCCTTGATACGGCTGCCAAAATTGCATGAATCCTTGTGCGAATGTAGCGGAAGCATTTTGTTTAGGCGCCAGGGTTAATTATATTAAAAACACTCTCTGAAACAAAACAAATAATACATTATTATAATAATCATACATATATATGCAATAAAAAATGTGACAGTATTTATTTCTAACATCTGGTACATAAAAATAACAATTTAAATAGCTCATGGACAACCAATACTAATTCATTTAAAATCATTATAATATTTTATTTATAACGAGACTTACATTAACAATAATTATTTATTTTATCTTGAAAATTACTCTTAATACCATCGTAAATGTCTAAAGTAGTGTGACACGTTCATGGAAAAATGTTAACCTTTATTTATATTTTTCTAAATCTTACCCCCTTGTACAAAATCCAAAGCACTCAGGGATTACAATTAATCCAATAATAATTTGGATAATCTATGATTCTTCCTTAGAACGAATTCATGACAGCAAATCACTAATAATTCAACTTAAACGATCGTAAAGACATTCGTAGTATCGTCATGCTGTACAACAGCAGTAAGACTACTTATACATACGCGAGTATATCCTACATGTCGCTCAGTTCAATGTTTTTCAGTCGTTAAATAGATAGATAAGTGATTTGCTGGGTCTAACAACAAAATTCTAGAAAATTGTTCCATTTTATCGCAGTTCTAATCGTATATTTACAAAATTTCATAAAATTTCAAAAAAAAAAAGAAAAATCATTTGTTTCATTATTTGACGATAATTCTTTATAAAATAAAATAGGTCAAATATTTTGTATATTTTCTTTACTATTCGAAAAAATTATTATCGCCTTTATTATTACTTCTAATAAATTTCAAATTACTCTTAGTGACGAGATGATAAGTAATAAATGTCATGTCATTTTATATTCATATCTCGATATAGGTTATTTCAGGTTAATGGGTTTCGTTAAAATGTTTTTTAAAAACATGAAATTTTGTGTGTGTGTAATGCAAGAAATAAAATATTTTTCTAGTCTAGTTAACAGAAAAGTTTCGAATTATGTCACCATAAATTAATCAATTTATTATTTATATAATTATTAGTCAATTTTTTGTTTTCCACTTGTCAACATTCTCAATATATTCTTCAATATAATAGAAAAAGAAGATACATTCAAGATCATCGGAAATTAATTCAATGTTACGATTATTATTATAACATAAGAGGGAAATAAAAAACAAATTGAAATTACCTTTCTATTTTTAAAAAGTATATTTTGTAATTATAGAACATATTAAATCATTATTTTTATCATTATATTAAATCAGGAGTAATCGATAAAAGAGATGTATGACATTTAACTTATAAGTTAATGTATAAAACAATTGGGCAGTGATCGCTCCCATAAACACTGCTTCTTATAATATTATCGCATACTTTGTTTTGGATACGTTCAGATAACAAAAAGTAATCCAGTCTCCTAGAAATAAAATAAGTTGACAATAAAAGTATATACGTGTAATATTATATTTTATAACGATTATGCTTTTAATTCTTTTCTTAAATATCTTATAAAAATATATCATTGTTAATGATGACATATATAAGCTCTTATAACTCAAGCGTGTTAAACTGAATACGTGTAAATGGAATAAGTCAAAATAAGAGCAATATTTCTAAGCTTACCAGCCAATATTTTTATTCCTTGAATTGGCAAAGTATGACCAAAAAGTGTAAGCGCCTACTTTATCTGGATATAACATCCTGAATGTATCGACAAATCCTTGATCTAAAAAGTCAGTCATACCATCTCGTTCTTCTTTAGTAAATCCAGCATTTTTTGTATTGGTTTTAGGATTCGCTAAATCTGTAAAAGATAACATTGATTTTTTGTTTTTTAAATAATCTTTTATTTATTGAAAATAAAAAATGATTGTATTTACCGATTTCTTGATGAGCCACGTTCATATCTCCGCAGATAATGACAGGTTTTTTCTTATCTAATTCTTTAACATACAATTTGAATTTTTCATTCCATTCTAATCTTTTAGGCATAGTTATCAGCTTCGCTCCAGCATTTGGTACGTCTACAAAATATAATAATTTGAAAATATATTAATTAAAGATACATTAGATTCACTCTAAGTTACTAATAAATATAAATATTGTAATTATAATAATTTGATTATTTCTGCATTATAATACAATATGATATGTGATAAAGTATAATACTTTATACGTATATAAAAACTTGTATATATTATTATAAATAACTCACAAACATTTAACAAGAAAAAGTTTGGATATTCTGCTGTAATTAATCTGCCTTCTTCATCGAGCTTTGAATTATTTAAACCGTACTTGACATTAATAGGTTTTTCTTTTGTATATAAAGCTACACCGCAATAGCCAGCTTTTTTGCCTGTTATAAAGGTAGACATTTGTTAAATAAATTAGTAAATTAATATAATGTATATAAATATGTGCTTAAGATTTATTTTTACTATCTGTGTAGTAATGATGATATCCTGGCACTTTTACTTCGCTTGGCAGTTTATTAGTATCGCATTTAGTTTCTTGCAGTGCGACAATATCTGCATTTTCCTTGATAATATAATCCATTCCATTTTTCTGCATCATAAAATATCAATATTGAATTTTTACATTACTTATACGTATATGATCATATAACTGTACAATAAATACATAAGTAAAATTTACCTTTATTACTGCTCTAATCCCAGAAACATTCCATGTACTTATTTTTAAATTATATTTCATTCCTTCCGCATTAAGTTTATCGCAATCAAAATGAATCTCATTTAAGTTAGTGTCAACTTTATTAAGAGCTGGTTTATTATCAATTTTAGCTTTTTTAGCAATAGGTTCTTCATTTCCATTTGCTTTACGTTTATTTTTGGAAGTTAGTTCTTTCAAGGAATCGACAATAGGTTTTTTAACAGTTTCTTTAGAATTCTTAACAACTTCTTTATTGACTTCTTTCTCTTTTGCTTTGGTGTTTCTTTTAGTAGATTTTTCAGAAATTTTCATTGATTCTTCTGTTTCTTCTGTGGAAGATTCTCCAGATTCTTTACTAGAATCAGAATTCTTTTTTAAAACTGTTTTAGATGATTTTTTATCTTTAGCAAGTTGTTTACTTTTGGATACATTGGTCTAAAATTAAACAAAAATATTGAATCATTGAAATATTACATACATTATATTATATTAATGGATATTTTTTACCAACCTTCGACACTTTACTTTTCTTTGGTGGCATATTGATTATTCTTTGACTTTGGATATAAATTAACTTTAATACAAATTCGATATATGTATATATTAATGTAAATAAAAGAGTTATTTTTTAATACACTTTTTATATATCAGATAAAATAACATAAATTAATACAAAATTTCATATTTCTACATCGAAAAAATAATAGCCGAATTTAATGGAGAGAAAATAAAGAGAGAAGAGACACTGAATCGCGCGGGATATTTGATGCGCATGTGATTACATATGAAATGTAATTTATGTCAGTTTCATCAATAGGTAGAAGCAAAAAATACCAAAATATATCATATGGAACGTGCAGGGACCATGACAAAAGTCCCTAGCACCCTAGCGTTTTGAATCAATATCGATATCTCGCAAGAATCGATGTTATTTCATCGAAAGGGTGAACTTATATTTAATTCTATGGTCTAGTATCGTGCGAAACCTAATCTATATAGTATGATTATACAATAAAATATTAACAATGTGCAGAAAAAATGACATAGACAATTAACACAGAATAATAGAAGTTTCATCAGCTGTCTACATGTTTTTTTATGAAAACTTTATCCTAAATTAAATATATCTTTTGCTTGGTCGTTTTAATGTTTTGTCAGAAAAATGTTTGGTTCTCGAGTGATATTTTGTATTCAAGGAAAAACTCATTATTTGTGAGTCCATATAATTAAAACGAATATTATTTCTTTTGTATATGTCATATATATTTATATACGTATATTATTTTTATGCAATATACCTAGTGTTCGATCTCCTCATTTGGCAAGACCACGTGAACTATTCATTAAAGAATATCATCCAAGTAAGATAAGGTTATGCAGTCATGTAAAAAATATAAAACAAAGATTAGCTTCTAATGTTGTTAAGGTAATAAAATAATGATTATACGTACAAGACTTTTCATTTATTTCTTTTATAATGTTTCAAATAATTGTATTATTTGTTGAAGGTAGAAACCATTGATTTGGAAAAACTGGAACAATCAAAAGTGAAAAGTTCAGAAGAATATGAGAATTTGAAGAAAGGCGACTTATATAAGGTAAATACGAAATGATAAATATGATTATTTAAATAATGATTTTATCAAACATATATATCTCTTAGGGAAATACACGTGAAAAATATGAAAGTGAAAATAAAACAACAAATGATACAAAATTAACAGAAAATGAAATTTTATATAAAGGTGGAGTATTTATATTCATTAATACAATTGCCTCTGTAAATAATTACTTAATATATATATGTATGTTTTATATTTTTTAGATGTATCTAAACTTTACCCAGAAAGCCATAGTGCTGTAGCAAGTATTTATCAAATTCTAAACCATGAACTAGGTGACCAAAGTTTACTTCGTATACAATATAAGAGCTGCAAAATTAAAAAACAATTATTTTGGGAATGTACTTACTTAGTTTCTTGGCCTACAAAAATGTCATTTACTGCAATGAAGGAATCTAAAAAGTCTGCTTCAAATGAGGCAGCATTCAGGTGTTTATGCTGGTTGCATGAGCAAGGTAGATTAAAGGGTAATAAACCGATAATATATACGAAAGACGAAATACAAGCTAAATCGCACAAACCTGTTCCTATTCATTTGGATTCTGACGTTTTGAAGGAAGTCAAAGAATTGCTTCAAATATACAAAGTGGTAAGTTTGCAGTAACATATATATATATATTAGAGATATTAATACCAAAAAATTTCATTTGACTTTAGGATGTGAAAAATATAATTGAATCTCCTAAATCAAGCAATGATCTTTTTACTTTGCACAAAGGAAATGACATCGATAAAATATCTACATCATTGTCGTATTGCTGTAAACGTAATGAATTACTTCAAGATAGATTATCTAAAATGGTTAACGAGTATATTGATCTTCCTATTTTGCAATATAAGTAAGAAAATATATGTTTTTATAAATTTTTACTTATGAATTTCTATGGTAATAACTTATATAAGTAATAATACTTTATTATTTTCAGGGAAGAAATACTCGAGAAATTGAAAAATAATAACATTTTATTAATTAGAGGTAGTACGGGTTGTGGTAAAACAACACAAGTTCCTCAATTTATAATGGATTCTTATATAAAACAGGGAAATGCTACAGAGTGTAATGTTTTGATATCGCAGCCTCGCAGAATTTCTGCTATTTCTTTAGCAGAACGTATTGCTTCAGAAAGAGGAGAAACTGTTGGGGATGTAGTGGGATATTGTGTACGATTACAGAAACAATATCCACAGTTTCCTGGTGGAATGCTTTTTTGTACCACTGGTATTTTATGTCAAATAATACAGAACAATCCTAATTTGAAAGGATACAGCCATGTTATTTTGGATGAAGTTCACGAACGTACAATGGAAATTGACATACTTTTTGTTTTACTTAAAAGAGCGCTTTTAAATAATCCCTCATTGAAACTTATTGTTATGTCTGCGACTATTAACACTGAATTATTTTCAAAATATTTAAATTGTGATACGATTGATGTACACGGTAAGATGTTCCCTGTTAAAATGCATTTCCTCGAAGATTTTAAGAATATATTACCTACGCCAGGAAAACAAAAGAATCTGGATTTCCATGAAAATGATATAAATAAAAATACAGATTTACTAACGATTAATTCCCAAGAAATTGTAAGTCTTATAAAATGGATTCTTAATAAAAAATCACCTGGTACAATATTATGCTTCTTGCCAGGATGGTTTGAAATTAAGAATGTGAAATCTTTACTTACGATGGATAATTCAATAAAACAAAAATTGTTGATACTTCAGCTTCACTCTAAATTATCGATTGGTAAACAGCACAGAATATTTGATCCAGCACCAGAGAACACTATAAAAATTATTTTAGCTACAGATATTGCTGAGACTGGAATTACAGTTCCTGATGTTGTATATGTGATAGATACTACTATTAAAAATAATCCTATATGGGATAATAACAAACTTAGTATTCAGTCTCAAAGAATATCACAAGCAAATATACAACAAAGGTAATTATTAATAAATATTATAATTCATTTATTAATACAAATGTTATATTATTAATAATTGTTTCATATAAGATATTCTATATATATATATTAGAAAAGGAAGAGCTGGTCGAGTACAAGCTGGTGAAAGTTATCATTTTATAACAGAAAAGGAATATAATAATTTACGCTCTAATCCATTGCCTGAGATATTATTCAGTCCTCTGGAAACAATAATTATTAATATTAAATGTCATACTGATGAGAAGTTTGCACAATTTTGTGAACATATGATTGAACCACCTAGTCGGACAGTAATATATAATGCATTAAAAACATTAATGCAATTAGATATTATTGATGAACATGAACATTTAACTCCATTAGGAAAACGATTAGCATATATTTCTATACATCCGTCTTTAGGCAAAGCTCTAATTCTTTCAACAATTTTTAAGTAAGCCGAAGTAATGTTATACGTATAAATTTATATTTTACTTTGTAAAGATATAATTTTCTAAAACTAAAAATTATATATATTATTTTATAGATGCTCAGAACCTGTGCTATCTATTGCTACACTTAATTCCATGGACCAAGATATTTTTGTAAACACATTAATTGATAAATCTTCTAAAAAAGAAGTTAAGGAGCTTTATCATCAAACAAGTGATCATCTTGCTGTGGCTAAGTTATATGAAGAATGGGAAAAACATTCGAATGAAAGCTATTATAAAAATGAATTGTTCTGTAATGAAAAGAATATTAATCCTTTCCGGATGCAATTATTTATGAGTATGTATCTATGTTTATAATATATTTTATATATATTTAATCACTAAACTTTTAATTTCTTACTGAGTAAATTTTTTACATTTTTATAGAAATACGTGATATGATTTCTAATAGATTGCAGATCTATGGTATACAAAATCATGATCATAGCTATGATTTAGAAATACCTCCAAGTAAAGATACATACTGTGACGAATTGATTTGTGGCATTATGTTGTCTTCTACGAATAAGTTAATTCAAAAAAATGATCTTTCTTATTACAGAGGTATTTTTAAAAAAAGAACTGAATTTAAAAATGAGTACGTATATAAATATTTGTTATAAATAAAAACTATAAATGTGTGTGTGAATATTCTAATAATATATTTATTTCAGGAGTAATCGTCCAGCTAAGATAATGATAGAAAGTGTGAACTATAAAAGAACATCTTGGCCTAGCTCATATTTGACGTATCTTCATGGTGTGAATCGTGAAAAAATACCTTACATGCTAGTATATAATTCTAGCATAATATCTCCCTTAACCATTTTACTTTTCGGTACAGGTTGCATACGTAACGAAGTACGTCGTAAATTTTAATTTTGATTTTGATCGTCATTAAAATAATATATGAAATAGAAAACAAAAATTAAAATCAATTATTTTTCTATTTTTTAGCCCAAAAACGACTCTGATAATCAGGAAACTATCACTTTTATATTAGAAGGACGGAAGACACTGAAGTTTTCATGTACATCAGAGTAAATATTTTTTATTTCATTTAATTTTATAAAATTTTAATAACTACCCATTATATATAAATATTAATTGAGAATTTTTTGCAGGGAAGTAGAAATGCTTATATCATTCCGTAAAGTTATTTGGTCTGTAGTCAATTATTTTCTTACAATAGATAATCGTTGTTCCAGTTTGGATAATGAATTAAGTTTTATGAATGAGTACAGATCAGAAATGTTACGAGTACTTTCTAAAATGTTAGATACAAGTGCTAAAGAAAATAAAAAGGTACAATAATAGAAATCGATGATTATTAAATGACAAAAAAAAACAAATATCAAATGATTAGTCAATGTGCGTGCGCTTTCCTATTCGTATAAGTTTTCTAATATCATACAAAAACAAATATCTACATCTGTATAATATGTTCGACCAATATTATATAACTTATTTTTGTTGCCATGGCTAGTTAACAGTAGAAGATAAGAGAAGTGAAATGTGTGAGATGAGCGGATAGGATGAACGTTTAATATTAAATAAATTCCCCTTAAGAAATTTTAATTTTTTTTTCTTATTAAGGTCACCAAGTATTGTGTATAATATACTTATTATAATTGATAAAATTTTTCATGGTGTAAGCGTTCAAATACTTTCGTGGGAGAGTCACTGTATATAAATACTAAAGTGATATAAAATATTAACAAAATTAAGTATTCTATTAGATATATGGAAGATTAGTACTTAATGAGTTTGAGTATTATATCTATATCTATATCTATATATATATATATATATATATATTTACCTGATTTATATACATTTTGCAGGGAACCGGAAGCATGCGCTTCTAATTTCATTAAAAAGAATTTCTTGTGTATTAAATGATAAATAATATACAATATTATAAAAAATTCATTTTCATAAATACTTAAAAATAAATATTTAAATATAGTAATGAATTAAGAATAAATTATAATTTATAACAGTGATAAATTATCAAACAATAAAAAAAGAAAAAGATTGTTAACTAAATTATTATTCAACTTGATATAAAATTTTCGAGAAGATAAAATATACGATATATGTATATGGCAACTATAACAACTGAACTATATAATAATCTAATAAAATTAAACTTTTTATCTTTTAATATTATAATTATTCTTAAATTAATAATAAACTGTGACTCGTACGCGAAGAACTCATTAAATCATGTTAATTTAAGATTACTCATTTGAAATAAGATACTAATATTTATATACTGCATATTTTAAAATTCTAACAAATGTATATGTTACCGTCAAAGCCTACTAGCAATGACTAAATTCCGGCTTTGACGCTAACATATATATATATATATTAACTTTATAAATCCTTTATAACTTAATTTATTGAATTTGATTTCGTAGAATCTAAATATCAACTATTTATTGCACTTCCGGCCATGTCTAAAAAAGTACCAGACATTTTCGTGAAAATATGAAATTTACTTAATATCAATCTATTAATATATATATAAAAGGATTCAACTAGATAAATTAGAATTAGGTAGCAAAACAGTAACAAAACTTTCGGTTTCGCTATCGCTAAGATTAAAATTCGTTCTTTCATAAATTCTATGATCGAAAGATCGACAATGAGAGTCCTTTGTTTTTAATTGAACACCCGAATTGGTGGCTTCGGAAATTCTTTGTAAATTTCCAAAGAAAACACTATCAGTACCGATACTCTCGGCTCCACTTTCGCTAGCTCCATCGCAAAAAGATTCAGTTTCATCCGTTTCAGAGACACTACTAACTTCTGATTTCAATAATTGTTTTCGTGAACTATTACTGTCGGTACTACTAAGGTATCCATTATCTTCAATTTTCGTAGGTCCTGAAGATGATTTATCTGAAATTATTTTCACTGATTTTTCACGTTCCGAATCATTCTGACAATCTTTGAAAGAAGTAGCAGAATATAAATGTTCTTGAAACCGCGAACATTTATTGTTATTAAGATACTCGAAATCCAATAAAGAAGTTGAAGCTTTTTGAAGATTCCTACGATGATAATATTGATCGTTATTATACCCTACTTTTAAGCCATCGCTTTGGACAGGAGAGCCGTTGCTGGCCGTAGGGTCAACCGCTTCGACACTATTCCTGTCCCATAACCCGTTTTTTGACGACAATGTAGACGACGAAGAAAGGACTGCTTGTTGTTTTATTGCTCCTTCTACAGGTATGGGTGCTTTTGGAGATTGATATATGTTTTCGGTTGGTGGTAATGGTACAACATCTGGTTGATTGAAATTTGCTTGTCTTTGTCTTTTAGCTTGCCTCTTTTCGGGTGTTAAGTATTTCTTTTTCTTCCATGATAAATTATCACTGATATCGCCGTTTAGAGAATGACTACTGCCTAAGAAACTAGATTCCTTCAAATTCGATCTTAATTTAGCTTCGTATATTTCCCGAAGGCTACCGTAGCCCCGTCTTTCCAAAGGATCGTAATCATTTTGTTCGAGATTATCGTCGTTACGAAAACTACCTTTACTTTTGAGTAATATCTGTGCTGGTCTTTCCAAAGAATCCATAAAAATTTCATTGATCATTTCCTTCTCCGTACTTATCTCATCATTAATCTTTAATTTCATTGGTTTCCTATCCAAAGTATCCGGCTCGTATTCGGATTCATCTTGTTTGACATAATTATCCGGTGAATCTTGTACCTTGATTGTCAAATGTCCAGGATTTTCTGGTTCGTATTGTATATCTGGAGCAGAATCGTCGCTACCAGCTGGACTTACGTATCCATCGTTCACGTAAACTTCACTCACTAAGGAATAGACTTCTGATTTAGGCACGATTAATTCTGGCAAAGCATTGTAATAATTTTTTTCTAACACGTTCTTTTTCAATTTGGAAAGTACAGATTCACCAGTTTGACCATTGATTACTGCATTCTGTATCGTCAATTCCTCGTCCAAAGGAAGAGCCGTTGATAGAGTTGGACTCGATTGATCTATAGATTCCGGCGAGGTAGACGATTTCCTATTATATTTCAAACGTTCCAAACTATCGACTTCGTAATCGCTCATCTTTACCGATTTCGAATAATGTTCCAATACTTTAGCGTCTACCATCTCACGAATCACAGCATCCATTATCCGTTTCGTTCTATTTTTCGTAGCTGGTAATTCGTTTATCATATCTGGAAGTCCACCTTTCGATTTAGTTATTCTTTCATTAGCATTATTATCTTTCTTATGAAAATCTCTTTCTACATCTCTTTTAGATACTTTATTGTCATTGACTTTTTCAACTTCTTCTTTCTTTTCGATCGCAGCATTTTCTTCCATTTGTTTGATAAACGAATTTTCTATGGCTTTTCTTACCTTCTCGTTAACTATATCTTCAGCAATGAAATGATTATCTTTATTACTATTACATTGCTGAATGTAACTCGAGTTTTCGAACATAGATTTTGTCGATCTTTTTGAGAAAACGCTATAACGATCGTCGTTTTCTATAATTTCACTCCTAGCAATTGGCTGATGAACGTTTCTCGAAATTCTAAAGATCGATGAATTGTCTTGCCAAGAGAATGAACATTTTCTTGTTTCTTTGTGAAATTCTAAGAAATCGCATTTTGCTAATTCTTTCACGTATTCGAAATTTTCAACGAAAGTTTTCTTATCATTGTGACAATTCTTTTGTTCTTGTTCGATCTTTTCCAGCCAGTGCAATCGATTTGGTTTAACATCTTCCAGCCAAGCTCGAACTTTACTTTCACCTGGACTAGGCTGATCGTTTCTTGGAAATATCGCTAAATTTCTATAAGAGTTTGCACAACCCGGACAGCCTGTGCATCTCAACGATTTCGCCGACTTTGTCGATTTCGTCGCCACATTTTGGGACGAACTCGAAATCGATTTTTCTAGTTGCTTCTGTTTGCTAGTTGAATTACTACGTTCTGCGTCACTTTCTTCCTCCGGAATAGCTATTATAAAAGAAATATACAGAATGTCACAAGAAAGTTCTAAAGTGAAAAATACCGATGAAAATCTTACCGACGAGAGTAGGAAGAAATTTTTTAGCAGCCATCTTATGTTTCGCGATAGAAATAACTTCGCGAATTTTGAGAAGAAATTCTATTGCTGCCGGAGGTGGAGACTACAAAAATCTAAGATTAGAATCGTTCGATTGAAAAATGTTAAAAGCTCGAAAAAACTTACCAATAACAATTGCCTATCGAAGTATGCAGGATTGAAGTATAATTTTCTTCGTTGAGTACCTGGAAGTACCGGTACTTCTTGCTGATGAGAACTATCTACTGTTTCAACTATTCTAACATCCTCCTCGGGTAATCTCTCTCCAAGCATTGAACCAGATCCAAATACAGTTTCCGAATGGTCTAGATATACATAGCGCGGGTGAATGATTGCAGAAGTAAACTGGCTCTACAAATTCAATGCCACATATCAGTATACACATTTGTTGTTTACCTAACTACAAAATGAAACGCTTTAACAGTAAGACATATACTATTTTAGTAATTTCAAAAAAATCATTTCATTATTACTCATTTGCATCTATTATTCTATATGTTATTTCTCCATACGAACATGTTCACAATTTTGTTCTTCATCGCTCGGAACCAATTCGTCTCCTAATTCGTTCTCAGTCAAAACACTGTTAGTATCATTTTCCAAATGCCTCGATGTGATTAACAGTGGATTGTTTTTGATGAAACCACCACTAATAATATTATTAGCAACACCTTCCCTTGGGCCAGGTAACGTAAGTTCTGGTTCTTCGATCGATTTTCTCTTTCCTCTTCTGCTATGAAGATATAGCGATACACTAGCTACGTATATGATAGCTAGAATGACAGAGGAAAGACCAATGGCAGCGTATTCGGTAGCCGAGAGTCCTCGAGAAACTTGAGAATTCGATGAAAATATTATTTCTCGAACGTCTAAATACATTTTGGGGGGAGAGAAAAATAATAGAAATTCAATAAATTATTGAAAATCATTACATGATTTATATTTATTTTGCTAAGGAAGTTTAAAATACGAACTGCTTCTCGATGGCGATCCAGCGACTCTAAATGCAACACAAGGTGCAAATACGCCAGCAGCAGTATTGTTTTCTCGCGGTGATGCATCTCTGCATATAAGGTTGGCAATTACTACTCGACCTTCTGCAGCATCTCTTAATCCGCTTTCACCGATCCACTGCGTGTAAAGATTCTTAATATTAATAAGATAATATACAAAATACGACGATAAAATAATATACAAACTAACCTGAAGAAAAGTTCTCCCTTCGTCGCGAAACAATCTGAATGGTGGTTCCGTATTTGATAGATTTCTCAGTTCCGACCATCCTGATTTTCCTAATTGTCTCGCTCCTGTTATTCCACAAACAGGAGTAGTTACATCTGTTATCAAAAGATACGAAATTACGTTGACGTAGCACGAAATGATATTGACAAAATCGCGTGGATGTACCTTTGAAACGAATTTCAGCATGCGGATAAATAATTTGACCACGCTGGGGTAGAAAAACGTA